TCACCTGGACTGGGCCCTATCAGTGACATATTTTCTGATTCTGCCTACCGTCAGACAAATTAAAGATTTTGAGTTCAGTTTTCAAGATTAGCCTCATGTATTATGTATTTGAAAATAAAGGGGAAATAATGACCTATCTCAACATGTTGCTACAAATGATCATTCTTCAGCCTCAGATTTCAGTTTCGATTATTACAAAAGTAGGTGTGGTTTTGAAGCAGGAAGTTTCGAGCTGTGAAACACAGCTTGCGGTCTTGCGTTGGGAGTATCTCGAGCCTTGAAACACAGCCCATGGTAGTGAAGGAGTTAAAGGGTTGTTTTATTGAATTATTTTTTAAAAAAGATTTTGCGCATGTTTGGAAAAAATGCTTTGGCTTGTGTGTGTGATTGTTTTTGTGTGTCTGTATGTGTTGGTGTGTGTGTGAGTGTGTTTGTGTGTGTGTGTTTGTGTTCGTGTGTGTGTGTGTGGTTGTGGTTGTATGTGTGTGTGTGTATTTCAGTCTGTATGTGTGGGTATGTTCATAAGTCTCATTGTGTTTTGTTTTAATGTGATTGTGTGTTAGGTTCATTCTGCTAGTGTTTGATGGTGCTCTTGTGTGATCTGCTACTTCCTTACCTTCTGTGTTACTGTGACCGTTATGTCGACCGTAACTGTTGCAAACCGTGGAAAAATTCCTATCTCTATATTTGGTCGCTTTTAAGGACTAGCGGGCTAACACAGATTTTGAGGGTTTCCAAAAATCTTGACCTACACCAAAAGTGGACCCTGCCCTACCTATAGAAGAAGTTTGATTTCATTAGTGTGTATATTTGTTCGGTTATAGAGAAAACTCTCCTTGCCTTTTAAAAAAATGAACAAGGGGCAAAAACTTTACCTTCGATTTTCTTAAAATAGCATTTTTCGGGATGGCCCGCTTGTGCTTAAAAGCGACCATTTCTTTAAAAAATGTAACTCGTAGAGAGGGTAAAGGGATGATGAATTTGAATCAGGATGAGTGTGTAGGGTGGGGTTTTTTTGTTTGTTTTTTTAGGGGGTTCTCGTTTTCTGTTGTTTATGTTACTTTTGGGTGATTCTTGCTTGTGTTTCATCCTATGCCTTGGCTTCAATAAAAGTCCATAATGTGTTACTGCACAACATTTTTGAGTCTCAGAATTGTTCATAGAAAGTTTGGGTTTCATGTTGGTTCCAACCTTTCTTCTGCCATCGCTTTCTTTGTTGCTTAGTTGTTGGTTTTTTGGGGGGTATCAAGTGCGAAGGAAACTAAGGGATGGGGAGGGGGGTATCAGATTCATTATGCATTCGCAAAAGCTGTGTTTGTTTTTCTGTCTTTCTTTGTTAAGTTTGTATTAATTAAACAAAGACGTTTTTTCCACCTCCAACCCCCCAAAATCCATAGACTTTAGATCATTTAGAAGGCGGGCTTTTACCCTGCCTGTCAGGACCAACCAGAGCTGGGAGGGATACAACAACCCTGGAGGGAAAAAAACAAAAACAAACCCGATAAAAATTCTCGAGACAGACAATGGAACCAGGTCCTCTGCTTACACTTACAATGACGAAGTGCCCACTCTAAGGTATCGAATAAAGGGGGGTGTGGACAAGTGGTCCAAAATTAATAAACGAGAGAGGGGGGGGGGGGTGTGGAATAAAAAGGGGGCGGGGGCACATTCAACCTCATTACTCATACCTCTGTACTAGTAGAAACAAAAATCTGTTTTATTTCTCCTACAAAGAATAAAAGGATAAGAGATCATTAAATTTTAGTAAGTTACTGTGACAACTTTTCCCATATAGGAACAAACCAGTTTTACTGTAAAAATAAAATGTACAAAAGATTTTAAAATTGAGGCAGCCAACCCAGATCTGGTACTAATACTGAGGGTAATTTACCATATATACAACCCAAAAAAAGAAGTTTCATTCAGATATATCTAGATTCAAGATATAAAACATGATCGTTGGTCGTAGTGAGCTGGAAAATAATATACGGGGGTGGAATAAAGAGCGGGGGAGAGGGGGGGAGTTCGTTAAAAAAACAAAAATTAAAGAAGGGGGGGGGAGAGAGGGGGTAGCAAATAAAAGCGTTTCACTTTACAACATCGTATGGGAAAAATCAAAGGCAACGGAGCAGGAGGGACAACAGAA